AGCTGTGGAAGACCCAGAACGAGATGGCGTGACGTATTGGAAGCGTATATGAGGTCTTGGCCTGTAGCAGCGTTAAATCGCAAAGAGTGGAAAAAGGGAAGGGAGGCATTTGCCCTGCAGTGGGACAGTAGTGGCTGAAAAATGAAAATGATGGTTTAGTTAATTATTGCTAAGACATTTGAATAATTCAATTTGCATATAAAATGCCCGTTAATAAATACATTGCATTGTCGAATAAGCTAAACACAAAACTCGCGTGTCGCATTGTAGCTTGTGGTGGAGTTTGGCCGTAAATAAAGACAGATCTGTATTTGAGTAGGAAGTAATGTACTAATTGGGTTGTTTTCCTGCTCGAATTGCGGGTGAAGGGAAATTAATGCCCTCAAGAGGATAAACGTGCAATTATTTTTCCGGAAAATTGTTGGCAACGGTTGTGTCAAAAGTTTGTTTCAAAGCAGGTGCGGGAAAGAGTTGCCGGTATTCGAGACTCATATTTTGTTTATGACTCTTTTTATTTTTACGATAAAAGTTTTGCTTATGTCTTAGTCAAAGGTGGGTTGTGGTCGCGATTGTCGTAACTTTAGATGGTTTTTGAATAGTTTCATATTTGCAGTAATACATTTTGGTTTTATCCATTAAAACCAATGTGATTTAGTCATAGTTTTAATGAAAATTTTTGGACGAGCCTTCCATTTTTCAATTTAAATGTAAAATTTTACTTGCAGCGTCGGTTTTAAAATATTTAATAAAGACGCTTAGAAGTTAGGTTTGCACACAGAGGGACAGCCACTTGTATATTTACGTTTATTAATTTGATTCACAAGTAGGGTGGATGTCGGAAATAATTATTTCTGCGTTTTAATTGAGAGCTATGAAATTTTGAGTCGTTGAGTAGATCATTGCTATATTTGCGAGATTATTACTTAATCATTGTTCCTTTTCATTTTAGCTGTGCTATTTTATGAAAACAATAATATTATTATTTCTGTAATTTGAATACGATTACAAAAAGCGAGATCGACGATGTGCTTGTATCTAAAAGTAAAGGATTGTGTCTTCTTCTTAGTGTGCCGCTTCTCTACGAAGGTTGGCGACCATCATGGCCATCCTCATTTTTGAAGCTGCCGCACGAAATAGGCAACGTGTACTAAGATTGAAACAGTCTCTCAGAATCCGGATCTTTTGCCCCTCGTTACGTGGCCAAAATACTGCAGCTTCCTTTCATTTACAGTTCTGAGTGTTTCTGAGTATTTAAACATTGTATACTCGCGTTAAATAACAAGGAATAGAATACTGTTTTTGTAAATCTTTAAGTTCACCAACACACGCCCAAAGCGTATGTAAAATATTTAAGTATTATTGTTATGTGGCAAGGAAAACACAATGAATGTGTCCTGTTTATTTAGTTATGTATGAAAGTCAGTCACGACCTATAGTTCCAACCACGGAATAATATGTGGTCTGTGAGTGGAACCTTAAAGTGAAAGTAGACTTTCGCAGTTTTAAGTTTATACAGAAATGACACGTCGAAATACATTTCACTTTATAAATTAATTAATGTTAATAAAAGTAACTAATGAAACGTGCTATCTAACAAAGAATGTTTAGAGGAAACGACAGCCTGTATCAATGTGGTAGACCCCCACATCCCGGCGGAACACCAATTGGACGTTTAGCCTGTTGCATATCAATCTTATTTCCGCGACCTGTCAAATCTAATTTATTGTCTAAAATTACGTACTATAGCTATATTTAATACTATTTTACAGTAACAATGTTATTTCGCAATTTAATGATGCTTATATTTAAGCATTAGAGCGGTGGTAGCCCAGTGGGAGAACGGTTGCGTCTCAAAAGAGCGGTCGTCGGCTAGAATCCTTGTGGCGGCATGTAAGTACCTATGACTTTTAATTTCTAAGTTACGTTCATTTGTGGATCTTTAGTGGCAATACCTCTCGCTAACAGTGAAGTAGAACGTCGTGAAGAGGATTCAAGGAAAAGTTGTCCCTACTTTGGGGAAGCGTGGTGGTCTATGACCTCTTTTTAAAAGAGATCCGTAACCTGCAGAGGGACTTAGAATGAGTTGATGATGATGACGATATATTTAAAGTAGAGATTGAGTGTAACGTTAGTGACTAATTCACATCAATTATCTTTATAATTCAAAGTCAAAGTAAAATAATCATTTATTCCATAGGTAATATTTTTACTCTTGAAAACGTCATTTTTTATGCTACTGCTCGTTCACTACGCTGACCTCCCTGAGAAGAATGAGCAAGAAACTCTAGGGATTGCTCTTTTCAAATAAACTTAAATGCTATAGAATAGATTTTGAATCATATTTGTTATCCAGAATCACGTTGTCTTTCCATACATCTTTATCTAACACGTACCTAGTCTACAATTTTGTAATATGACTTTTCAATTAAAATACTTTTGAATTAAGTTTTAAACTTAAGAAATGGTAATCTTAATATATGCTCCAGAATGTTATTGTAATAACGTATACAGTTCCCCATAAAAGAATCGTTTACCTTTGTTAAACGAAAATGGATATAGTTCTAAGGTTAATATTATGGACTTAAATACCTACTACATAATACCTACATAATTTTAAACAACCGCCACTTATCTAAACGGTTTAATATGTGACACGTAATTGCGAATCAGCGGAGCCACAAATCTCCAAACACTAAAACAAATTTATATCGAAGTTCGGCCGCCATCGCCACATCAAAAGAAATTGTCCGAATGTTTGTGGTCAATTTATTTACTAGTAATTCGTTACAGCTTGGGCGGATACTTGTTTCGATGATAAATTGTACAGTCACTCATTTTCCTACTCTCCTCTCAAACTATACACTTCAATACAACACGTATGCAGTATAGAATAAGAATCAAAACTACACCAGCAAATCATTGAAATGTCTTCCAAGTTTTCCGATTATAAAAATTTGAAATATGAATTTAAATCTTTCAATGCTAAGAGTTACTTTGCAATGCACTATGATAGTCATTCCATTTCGGGATGTCGAATGACATTGCAGATTGACAAATGATTACCAGTCACAGTTCAACAGTTAATTTGTATGTAAATATGAGTTTTTGTATTTTGTTTAGAGATTGCATCAATTTTTACCCTTTCGGGTATCGTTTTGGTTGCACTGCATTCCATGAAATGAAATTGGTCCAAGAACTGATTCGTATTAATTAGAGTGGCTCTATAAAATACATTTTGAAAAGGACACACATTAATGCAGTTAACAATAACAAACATTGAATAGAAGGGAAAATAAACGCTAAATTGCACTCATTTACCGGTCGCAACGATCAATCATGGCAGCCAAGTCATCAGCCGGTTCAAATGTCAAACGAACCTAGGGTGGCAATAAAAAAAGAAATACTTTGTTGCCATTATTAAAAAAGTGACTGTGACTTTATTTCCATTGTCGATTGCCGATTCGGGATTATTAACTGACTTGCATATTTTTTTGTGTTTTAATATTGATAGATTGGTTTTTTCGAGTAAGTGACTTTTGGATTTTGTTGCGTGTATGCGGTACTGTAAGTGCCGATTACAATATCTAAGAGAACTGTATTTGTGTCAAAATAGCATAAAACGATAGTCATCAGTGGCCGTTCACACGCGAAGTGAAATGTATTGTCTGTCGAATAGAACGGTAAAGCAAACCACTTAATTCATTGCGAGATACTTTTTGTTATTCCTTCTTTGTAATTGTGTTTTGATGTTTTCATTTACCTCGTGTTTTAATCTACCAGTAAAAGTTGCGTACATGTAATCCAATATAATTATAATATAACTAGGTACTTTAAATTCGTCATCATTCGTCTTTATTGCACATGGTACAACATGTTTGTGCGCCCTCGTATTATGAATCGTTGAGTGAATTGAATCTAATGTAATGGAATTGATTTCCGTTAATTTTACGATTTGGTTTGCGTGATCTCGTCCGGTAATAATGTAATAAATTCGTCCATTGGGAGGGGAATCCCTTCACTATCATAATGACTCAATATTAATCGTTTTATACTGGTCAATTTCTTGATGTACTTCAACATTTTCCTTACTTTTTGTATTCGTCGGCCGTTAAGTGATAAATAATAGGTCAACTTTAATTTATCAATATTTAGTTAAATGCCCGTAATCGTCACCATTGATCATTTAGATGCATTACATTGCACGAGACAATTTATCTAGTTAAAAAACATGTGTCATATAAAAAGACAAACTTTAGTAGAGACGGCGGTATCTACAAAAACAAAATCAATTAATTGAATATTTTCGTATTTAACGGATGTAGCAATGAAACAGTAAATTAATTAATAAATCTTACTGCGGTTGCATCGACCCGTTGCAGTGTAATTGTAACAGTGCGCGAATGCAAACACGGCGCATCGCGTGCGCCCGGACCATATCAGCCCGGGCGGCGGTGCGGCGCCGGCGCAGGCGCACCGACCCGCTACTACCACCATACCCCATATTTTAACAACTGTCCTAATATATCTCACAATGTTGTTTTTAACTATTTTTTGCCACATGATTGTTTGATCCTTTATTCGCGTGTTTACTTTTAATTTTAGTAGTACTTTTTTAATTTTGTTTAGTGATGTTCCTATTATTGAAACCTTTTATTTTATTTTGACTGATTGTTTAATGTATGATGTTACAGTTGAACATCTGGATCAATGCCACGAAATTTTGCAATAGTGTGCTTGTATTAAGAGATTCTTCTTTTATAAACTGATGTTATTATAGGGTACTGTTTAAGTAGTTTAAATTCATATCTAGTTTAAGTTTACTTTTTAGATGGTACTTACAATTGCATTGACACACAATACAAAAAAGCAATTACCTACCCGTTTAACCTGTTATTTGCATGTAAATTTATCTGTGTTGCCCTCTTTTGAATCAAATTCTAATCCAAATTTAAAATTTGAAAATTTTCAACGAATTGGATCGATTTTTTTCTTAATTTCAGGTGCCTGTCACTGAAAGCGCCCGACAGGTATGTTGTAAGTCGCGTGCGCCGCGTTTGGTTTCGTTCGGCCGGGTTCGGTAGCGTTCGGTACCGCTCGGAGAGCTCGGCCACAGCAGGCCAGCAGGCTAGGGGGTAGCCTGGAGAGCACACGACACACCCGCAACGCAGGATTAATACAGTATTACTTTTCCAACAAAATTGCTTTTCGATGTGTTTTATTTATTTTTGTAATTTGTTTGATCTGCAAAATTCCACCGCCTTTAAAGGTAGGTCCCATTTCATCTGCCATTGGAACTCGAACTTGATCGATCATTTTACTCAATCATTTTTATGCTTGATTGGATCGTGACTGAGTCTTTTTAAATTTGATTGCATATTTATGTCTCAGTGGTGTGATTATTTTACTGTATTAAGTAAATGTATTTGGAATTTGTGGGTGAAATGTTAGTTGTCGTTGTTTTGGTTCCAGGTTACACCCTAGCCGCTCGATAAATTTTATGAATCCCAATTGAATCACAGATAAATTTACAAACTGTAGTACCTATCTGTCTATTGAATGCTATAGTTTATGGTTATGTTTATGTTTAGTTTTATTTAGCATGATTGTGTGATTTTATCTATATAAGTATTTATTATATTACTTCGTAATGTACTTCGCCTCGAATGGGTAAGTTTAAATGCCTTTTGTTCTAATCTATTTCATTGCAATATTATACCCGTTTAGTTTTACTATTTCGGAAATAAACTATTTGAGCATCATTTAAAATATTTTTCCATTTAGTGTCACCAGGAACTAATTCTTTTTCTCTCGGCGCTTACGCATGGCCGGCGTCGCGCCGATCCGATCCTATGACAAATGTGAGATCATCATCAAATCGTAAAGGATTTAACGCCTCCGTTAGCACGCTCCTTTTGTTGGATGCATAAAGCCGGCCATTAGCGTGTTTGATAAAACGCTGTTACAAAAAGAGACGGCGAGCTACCGTGGGCGCCCCGCCGCGATGCCCATTCAACCTCGCGGCCTGCTGTGGTGCATAAAGAGCATAAAAGCAGAACGCCACGCACTCGTGTTTTCGTTTATCATTGCGACGCTGAGTGGCCTTGTTAGTGGTGCAGTCAATGTGCAGCCAATCGGAAATTCCGCAGACTGTTATTGTACCAAATATTATAAAATGAAAAATCATTTCTTCCCGCAACATTATTATATAAAATGTGCTTTTTTCACGTAGATTCAACATCTCTATCGTATTTATTTTTAGCTTCAGTCAACATCATAGTATAGCAGCAGGTATCTACAGTCTTACTCTAATGCCTAATGTATTTTCTCATTACAATAGATCCGCGTTGATCGTGTCAGTTATACCTACCTATATATATTATTCATATTATTATAATCCAGAAATTAATCCTGCACGTTAGCTCCTTTAAGAGTATTAAGATAAAAGGGTATGTCAGTTCAGTTCTTATCATAATATTTAAATTGATTCAGCTTCTTTTATTACTATTGGTAAGAAGTACATAAGAAATATTAGGAAGTTGTGGATTAGATCTTTGAAAAGATACCGCGATGCATAGTTGAAGGAATATACCTTTCTCAAACATAAAATGACTTAAGTTCAATAATAATGTTTATAAAGGTCGACAGCAACAAAACAAATCTGAAACAAACTCAAAATAACACCAGCCAGGAAGGTTTGACGCAAAACAAACGGCAATCACAACAAAGGAACCGTTTACATTCTAACGCCTTTAAACTAACAAAGGCCGATTCAAATAAACACTAAATCGCCAACCCTTTGACCGTCCGTGGGCAATTTTCACTGAAAAAGGAACGAAAAGGATTTGCAAAGGGTTCTAAGGACCGCCACCCTGATTTGTACATACGTAACAATGTATTTAAGTTGTTTCTGTTTATAAAGCAATCAGAACTAATTAAAAGAAATGGGAAAATAACAGAAAATCAATAAAACTATTACTTAATTATTTATACACGAATAAGGAAATCAATATTTGTTATTATTTTACTTAAGCAACTATGTTATTATTTTTTAATTATTTATAATATTTATTAATTGAGTACTCAATTTTTTTGATTTTTATTACTGAAATGGTCTACAACACAATCTTGAAGTATAGAATGTATCATTATTTTCATAGCCACTCCTCATTACATGAAGTTTGTAGTAATAATATTAAATGGGAATGGCGCATTTCTCCGGGGTGTTTGCGGAGTCACAGAGGTGTCCGCCTGTGCCGTTTGCTTCACTGACGCTGGCCCTTTGTGTGCAAATTAGCCATGCGCCCTCCCGCTCACTGCCCATATTCAGATGGGTGGATTTCTAAAAACTGAGACGAGCAACAAGTAACTGAATGGATGGCAACCAACACTTTTTACATCATATTGAAATTTTTTTCAGTTTCATACATATAACACTTGCAAGTGCTGCCTGGTTAACTGAGGACTACGTTATATAACATTATTCAAAAGTGCAATGAAAATTACAACAATGAAAAAAAAATACATGACGAAAGTTCTGGGCAGATCTTAATAGCTATGCTGAAGTCGAAGGTGTGGCCACATCTCAATGTCAATTTTCTTTGAGCTCGCCGGCTCGCCCCCGCTCACAGCGGCTGAACAATGTGCATTCTCTAACACCTTGTCCAACCACTTATTGTTTTAATCTCCACCTAATGTTCGTTACGAATGACATGGCCCTCACCGACTGTAAGTAGATACTTCTCTTTCTTTGTGGTAAAAAACAAATGATTTTTTGAAATCTATTAAACCTTTGAAATAAGTGTTTTGTCGTTATCTTTTACAAAATAATGGAAAACGTGCAATTATTATTGCATTTTCCTGTTCGTACATGTACATGTAATTTTCCTTATTCTTTTTATGTGGTAAAGGTTTTGTCACGGAATAAAGCTCAATATTGTTTGTTGTTTAGAGAATCCTTGACTCTATTAGTCACGAATACCCCAATTCGATATAGTATGGAGCGGAATGCGATTGGTCGATTCGGACACAATCATTCAATTGTCGATTCATTATGGCTTCGCTTTTGAATACAATTGAAGGTTGTAGGCAATTCGATTCAATACCAAATTACAAGCAACCAATGGTGAAGTGTTTGGAACCCATCAAAATCGATTAACAAATTAATTTCTTAAATTTTCCTTCTCATTTAATTTTTTTAGTTTTGCTAGTGAAATAGGGAAAACGAGCTTAATTTTGCAACGGTTTTACCATTAGTACCAACAAAATTAACCGTTATTTAGTATTTATATTTGTGACAACCATTGCCGTGTGCTCCAAGTGAGAATTCTTGTGTTCAATGAGGCCCCCTGCAAATTACGTCATGAGTGGCCTTTGCGTTGCTCAGTGCACTCACCGCACTCACCCACTTGCGCTTACACCCGTGATGAGATTCAATACTTTCCCTCTCGGCACCCTGACCATTATGTCCTATGCCTACCTATGGAATTAATGATGCTAGGTGACAGTAATATAGTTAAACTATAAAAGCACATTGCATTAAGTGAGATATTTATTATTCTGGAGGTGGTAGATATCACCACCGCCGTGATATTTTTATTTTATTTTACAGGATTGTCCAAATCTATTACCGGGATTTATCATATTATCGATATAATTACAACAGAGATGTATTGTATAATTGTGTAAAACTATTTAAATTAAATAAAACTTAAGTTAAAATATTTTGTTTAAACTTTTCTTTTTTGCTTTGAATGCACCACATGGCATGGTTAATAATATGAGTATCAAAATTGCAAAAGGAATTAAAGGTTTATTTTATTCCAATCCGACGTAATAGCATATTTCAAAGTGCCCAAGACAAATGAATCTATAAAATTAATTGGACAAGTAATCGAAAACTCAGAAAGAATTTCTTCATCTCTGCTGTGGGGAGCGGAAAACAAATGAGGGGCAGACATTGAATAATTCGATTTCCTTATTTGCACCAATCAATATCTTATAAGGGAATTCCGTATCAGTATCTGCAAGGCAAAATGTTTTTGATCAATACATGTCTATTGACTTTGATTATTTATTAGTACATTGCTATATATTAAAGCATTGTAATTGACGATACCTTTGTAAATTCGAAAGGGGTAAGCAGAGTCAGTTGGTGGCAAAGTTATGGCGACCTTGCGGTTGCTTGCCTTGCCCAAGTCGAAATTGATAAGCAAACTCAGGTGCAAGAGTATCATAACTAAATTTTAAGTGATCCCCTCAAACAGTTAAAGGGTGGCATCGCTTGCAGCGTGCGGTGCGGCGGGTAGCGAGCGCGGGCGGTCGCAGACGGCATATTAGTAGACATAATTGCATTTGCTACCAAGCTCGCTGACGTTTCCTGCAACGATCTACGACTCGATCTCATAGACAATCGAGTTAGCAACACAAACCATCCCCCAGAGTTAGCTGCCACTGATGAGAGTATTTCGCTTCTTGATTGACTTCTTGACAATAATCAACTAAGGAAATGCGGATAAAACCCCACTGCTCCTCGGTCACTCTTCGACAACGTGATTAAGTAAAAGCTTACAATCCAATAAGCACAACTCTGTACCTGATTAATTAAGAAAGCTACTTTTCTAAAAATAAGCCCATATTAAATTTTGTACGTAATACTGTCGGGTACTTATTTAATTCCGGATATAAAATTTCTGTGATTGAGCCCCAGCGGGTGGGGCTGAGGGGCGTGAATTCCAACAAAATTAGCACCAGGGGTCGAAATAAAAAAGCGAAGGAAAAATTTAATGAACAGGAAAATGCTCCTTTTTGCAGCTATTCCATCTATTTATCTACATCGGGATGCCCATTACCTTGCTAAGAGAAAAGTTTACATTTTTAATTTAATGATTCCACTTTGTGGAAGTTGGGCGGGTTTCGGCAAGATCTTAATTTGGGGATTTCTGAGGCGTCTCGTTTTGTAAATATTATTCCTTTAATAAGACCTCACGTCGAGGGGTGCTTGCTTGACTCCGTGATTACGACTCTCTTT